ATGCATTACTTTGGTGACAACTGCTGCTAGTGCTTGGACGGTGGCTGCAGTTGCTGCTACTACTGGTGGTGTTACTGCTGGTCCTTCTCCTACTGCTGTTACCATTGGTCTTCCATAACCTATTTTAAAAACTCGGATGTTGAGCCAATACTACTGGCAATAGTAGTATGGAAAGAGAAAAGGATCCCTTCCCCTCATTGGAACTTTTCGCACCTGAGCCTTCCAAGTTGGAAGGTTGTTGGTTTGTGCTTCGTAGATGTGTTGGATCTAGGTGTCAGGTCATCGAATGTCTCAATTTCCTTCTCAGTTTTGTGCCCTGTCGCACTATCTGACTGTATATTATCTCGTTACCTTGGTTACCTTGGTGAACTGTTAGTCATAACTAGTAACTTATAGGTCCTTTTCTCCTTACATAACCATTTTTTATGTTTTGTTCTCCACTTGCTTGCTTATCCAGCCGAGGTAGCGAGCAGACTAGACATTTCCAAGTGCACGCTCTGGCAGACGGCACATATCAGCTTGGTTCGTTCGATACCTGCCATCAGAACATTCACAAGCTAGTTCTATTCTGTCATCAGGTGAGTCTGCATGTTGTTCTAGCAGGGATGTTGTGGCAATCTCTCCCATTTCAGGGTTCAATCGCCATAGGCATAGGATTGGCCCAAACCTTTTCAGTTCATACTCCGATGTTCAGTAGTTGTCAAGGAAACCAGCCACTCCAGATCATAAGTTGCATCGTGTACTTGTACCTGGATGCTGGGGACTTTGTAGCTGGAACAATTCCTGTGCACCATACAGGTGCATAGTTTTAAATTCATTCCAAATATTCTAGTGGTGATTTTGAAAAGATCTCCATGGCCACTGCTGATGTGGAACCCAATGTCAAGAGCGCTACCGGCCCAGTGGAAACGGTGTGCACATCTAAGCCATGCATTCCTGCTGTTCAAAAGTTCCTGCTTTCCACCATTGCTTCTTTGCCAGTAGACCACACGCAGCAAATTAAGCCCATGCACAGTAAATGAAAATCAACACACAGCAAGTAAGCACACAGATTGTACATGAGCACCCTTCTCAGTGGACAAGGTTACAAGCTCTGTGATTGAGGATACTCACACAGTTCAAGTAGGCCCACACAGTTGGATGAACTACAATGTAGTGTAAACGTTTGATGGAACACTACACCAGGTACTAGGTAACCCATGCAGATCAGAAGCTGCACGTGCTTGAGTGCGAGGAGTGGTTGTGAGGGAGGGGGCGGAGGGGGGGGGGGTAAGAGAGAGAGAGAGAGAAAGAGGAGGAGGGTAGGCTGAGGTGCAGTACTGCTTGAAGATGTTGGATTTGTGCATGCTCTCATGACAAGATTCACAACTCAGATGGAGAAGACTATACTGTACGATCGGCGTACTGAAACTGATCTGCTGTCATGTACACTGAACTCCAGTGCTGGAGAAACTAATGCAAAATAGTTCATGCTCCAAAATATGTTTGTGTTGTGTTGTGTTCGAACAGCATGCTATAAACTCAGCGGGAGACAAGCTGAAAACTCCGCTAGCAACACACTAATGCTTAGCACCCGCAGCAGCAGCGGCCCGGGCCACTGCCTACTACTACTACTACTGCTATCACTGCTGGTGCTTTGAAGCAGTGGCCGTCGTGGCTGGTAGCCACTGTGTGTGTGTGTGTGTGTGTGTGTGTGTGTGTGTGTGTGTGTGTGTGTGTGTGTGTGTGTGTGTGTGTGTGTGTGTGTGTGTGTACTTGAATATGCATGTGATAATAGCTGTAGTCATCACCTTGATACAAGTAGTCACTGGAATGTTTTATTTTTGAAATACCATAAAATATAGAGTCGTTTGTGTAAGTTGAAAGACAAATTTAGCGTGTCAATAATTATTGATTTTAATTTCTGAATTCTATTAGTCATCATGTGTCTAAGAGCACTCCGCTGCAACCCCCAATCAATCCCAGCTCTTCTCCATTAACAAAATACTTTCTCAGATAAATACTAAGCTAACTACCGGACAGACTAATATTTTTGGGAACTTTTTTTTAAACATGCTTTGTACCCCCTAGACCCTCTCTCCCCTGCACACACATAATTTTGCTCCCGCTCCCAGCACACACACACATTGAGCTAAAGAGATAAAAAATAACCACAGCAACTATGGTAGTGGGTGATTATATTTCACTGACATCTTACAATTGCAGAAAGTAATATTGCCGTACTTATACTCTTTAAAATAGAAACGCACACCTGTTGTCATGCTGCACACGTTCCGTGGAAATATCGCAGCTCGTTTGATAATCTCTGCTACAGACGATGGTACTGCACATGTGATACAACAATATTTTGCACTAGACACACTAAAGATACAATAATTTGCACAGGACGCACTAAACTAGCGTTGCTACAAATTTTGCAATTTCAGAATATGAAAATATGAAGATTCTCAAGGCTAAAAGCCTTTGTGCAGTGTATGAACAACAGCTGGTAATAAAAATTGCTACAGTAACATTCGTAATTGAGTGTGGGCCACATTGGTGTGCGTTCAGAAGTCGCGGGTGTTGTGGGCATGCACGGCATACCGCTCTGTTCTCAGTTCATTCGTTCAATGCTTTGGTCTTGACAAGGAGACAATGTGGGGTTGATAAAGATAGGGCTCAAGGTTGGCAGTGCGGAGCTATCACGACCACCTCATCCAGTCAGCACGCACAGCTTCTCTGCATGCGGGGATGTCTGCGTTGATGACAGTCGCAGCAGTAGCAGTGGTGGGTGCTTGCGTTCAAACGGCTCTACGGAAAGACAAGACGGTTTGTAGCCAGTGCTGCATGGGGTAACAAGACGGTTCGTAGCCAGTGCTGCATGGGGTTGCGTCTCGCGCAAATGGAGCTATGTTCTGCTGAACTAGACTTGCATGCTGGTGCCGGGGTGCTTGTGTTCAAAGGGCTCTACGGAAGGACGGTTTGTAGCCAGTGGTAGGTCGGCTTCTCCAGCGCATTGAGCTACGCACTGCCGGACTAGACTTGTAGAGTCTGTCATGCTTCAGACAGTACGCTGCGCACGTCTCCTGGAACACACCGTCCATTCCTACACACAACAGTACAGAGAGTCACAAGATACAGTCAGCCATGTGATACACGACTGTGAGCCCTTTGACCAACAAATGGTGACCAGCAACATTATCTTCAGACCTACACTATTTTTCCCCATATCTTCCACTTCTCAATAGCGGATCGGTATTGACAAGTATTTTTCTGTATGTACAAAACCAAGCGTTGCCATTCAGTATCTGTAGTCCCATGTCAGGGTCAGGCAACCATAGCTACTGACTGCACAGGGCACATCGTCCCACTTCCGGGCCAGGTTAGTACATAGGGGGCATTGTCCCATGTCATGGTCAGGTTACCATGGTAATTGCACAGGGCAAATTGCCCCATTTCGGGGCCAGGTTACTACATAGGGAGCATAGCCCCATTTCAGGGTCAGGGGACTACAGAGGGCCGGGGCATTATCGCATGTCAGGGTCGGGCTACCCTTGCCACAACATGGGCATTGGAAATCTGCTGGTTCTGTCTACATTGAGGCTAAGCCGGGTAAAGTTTGGTTGATCGGCATGGACAAGCGATGGTGATCGTTGTAGGTACAATAACGGAATTGCACTGGAGATAAGCCCAGTCTAGATTGTTGGTCTGGTATGGGGGGAAAGAGATTGTCAAGGGGGAGTTGAGCTTCGATCCCTGATCTCTGGTGGTGTGTGACTGCCCCTGTGGCTAGGAAGCTGATTTGAAGAGAAAGTGAATACTAAAATACTACTGTTCTCTGATGGTCGCAAGCAAAATATTTAGTAACAAAATACGTTCTGTTCTGGCAACTGGCCCAACTATTAAATAATGTGATTCACTAGCAAATCCAGTAAAACTTGTTCTCCTAGATAAAAGCAAGCGTTCACTCACCAGACTTGACGAGTGCGGAGCATTCAACATAGGCGGATGCACCTGCTTCTCTGGCTAGCTGCAGGCCTTCTGTATACTCAATGATAGGCTTCCCGGATGCTGTCTTAGCGGGGGATGTCGGGCCACCCTGCTCCGGAGAAGTGAGGTCGTGGTTGTTATCGGGGGAAGTCCCGTTCGTGTGGTTGTGTCTTCCATTAGGGGTTAGACGGTGTGATCCATGATGAGTGGGTGTAGCACTTGTTGGACTTGTCGCTGAGGATGTTGAAGGTGCGTGGTCTCTATCGCGGGAAGAATGCTTACGGGGAGACAAGAGGGGAAATGGTGATCTGCTGCTTCTGGGCGCGAGCGATCCGTGCGGTGATTTGTCACCCGACGCCATCTGATGGGACCATGAGGACAGACGAATCGGTGCATGAGTGGTGTGCGATGTAGACGATGAGCTGGAATGACCATTGATTGCCTGTGGATAGCGCCTTGCCGGTCGTAGGTCACTCTTCGTGCCTGAAACAATAGCGAAAAGGGAATGGGTGTCAAGGAAGACGTACATGATGACATTTCAGAGACTGTGGTAATTTCCAGGATAGTGCAATGGCTCAAATCATGGCATTGTCAATCACCCCTGTGTAAATCATGGCATTGTCAATCACCCCTGTGTAAATCATGGCATTGTCAATCACCCCTGTGTATATCATGGCATTGTCAATCACCCCTGTGTAAATCATGTGCACATGTACTGTGAAGACTTGTACGAGTAAACCAGAGTCTGGTGTAGGTAAGATTGAATTTCCTTTGAGAGAATATCGGCACGCATGACCAAGTCCATGACTGTGTTAAAGGATAGTGCTGCAGATCAGTTGGCAATGGTTGACATTGAAATCGATCATTGATGTGAATAGCTATGTGCGACTACAGATCCTACTATTCTGCACAGTGCTGCTAAACAAGTGTGTTTCAGCTAACGTTGATCACTGTGCAGCTCAGGATCTGAAAATGGTGTGATGCAATCACTGGTTTACAAACTCTGGACTGCTAACACTAGGGTGTAAACTGGTGCAGAGCAATAGCTATTGATGATATCAAAGTTTGAATTTCTATTGTAGTTCTTAAACATTCGCTATGATGAACTCTATACATGACCTATACTGCAAGTAGAAGAGGATGGATAATTCGCTGCAGCTCAAACGGTTGTGTGCACAAGACGATCATAAGGGCAAACTTTGCCTGTTGATCGTCTCGTGTATGAAACTCCGAGATGCAACAAATTATTTATCCTCTTCCACTTCTTGTAAGTCACTCAGCCCTCGGACACTGAGCACTCTTTTGGACAGCCTGGTGCCTTTCTTTTCTAAATGATCAATACTTTAAAATTGCAGTGAGCGAGCTCCAGTGTGTTGAGAGCTCCAGTGTGTTGAGAGCTCCAGTGTGTTGAGAGCTCCAGTGTGTTGAGAGCTCCAGTGTGTTGAGAGCTCCAGTGTGTTGAGAGCTCCAGTGTGTTGAGAGCTCCAGTGTATTGAGAGCTCCAGTGTGTTGAGAGCTCCAGTGTATTGAGCAACCATTTTCCTTATAATAACTTTAACTTACCAACGATGATCATGGGTGTGTCAGGGGTGACCTTTTTCAGTTCCGGCACCCATCTGTACCTGGCATTGTGTAAGGATGCAGGACTGTCGATTGCAAAACATACCAGTATTACATCCACCTGGACAACAACACAACACAGAGCACAGAGCGCATCATTAGTACATCAAGCTGAACACACTAATGGGCCTACTTGTATATGACATCAACTTGGACAACATACCACAGAACACAGCCCTGGGAACCGGTACTCCAGCGACCAAATCAGCGAAGTTTACTGCTTATCCAAGTGTACATCAGATCTGACTATACACCAGCACACTATGGTCAAGTCAACAGTAGTATACACTCACAACAGCTATCAATGTTATAGACTGACAAGGAGAACACCAGGGCATGGCATGTACTCTCCATGCTGACTAATCAGTGGTAATCTAGCTGAATCAGGCGCGATCAGCTAGAACAGCAAAATGAAACTAAGGCTCATAGCAAATCCCCCCCGCTTCACACACTCACACAACAACTTGGTTTCAGCATACCACGTATGAAACTTGTTTTATTCTATAATTATTGGGACTTAGTAGAGACAATTCAGAGCGTATCCATCAGATGTACAGTGCAGTACAAGGCCAGCACAGAACTAACCTGTTGAAACAGCAATGGACGAACAGGAGCGAAGAGTTCATCCTGTCCCGGTGAGTCCCAGAGTAGTAGACGGTAGTGCTCCCCGTTGAAAGTTACTATGGCGGCGAAATGATCTGTGTCACTGCAGGTATCAAGGAGAGAGCGAGAGAGGGAGGGGGGGGGGGGGTATATAAGAGTCGGAATGAGATAAGAGCATTGTCATGCATCATGCTGTGTTCATTTAACTTGACTTACTATAAGAATGCATCAATTCATCACAGTAAGAAATCATGAGCTGGTGTTTCATTCGATAATGGATAACCACCGGAATTAGAGCAGCTGGACCGCAGGCAGATTCCACTCCATGATCGGATTGACGAAAGTCATTGAAAACAGGTGTTCCAAAATATACTATAGACATTGTTGTGAAAGTGGCAAAAGTGGCGCGTGCCATTTTGCTGCTTATAATGTGTCTATCCACATGTATGGAGCGTGCACACACCCAAAAGATGGCATTCAGTTCTCCCATGATTATCCATTCATGGTATTGGAAAGCAATCATGACATGAGGGGAAAGGTAAAGAGGTCTGGGGGTGGGAGGGGGGGGGGGGGGCAGTACGTGACTGAGATCATGCTTGGTCTGTCGCCATGACGAACATGGGGGAGTACAGGAGAAAGTCACCCATTCCAAACACACACACACACACACACACACACACACACACAAACACACACACACACACACACATACAAAAACTTACTAAGTAGGTAGGTATTCACCAGGGAAGACATTGCTACTGAACGTGTAGAGGAGTGACGTCTTACCCACCGTGCCATCACCAATCACAGCAACCTAGCATCACACAGCAGCAAGGCAAAGCACAAAACAGAGTTTATAGTCAAGAAAAAGGGTAAAGGACTAAGAAACTACAAGTTACGCTATAATGTCCACTAACACCACCAGTTACTAAACAATCAGCTCATGCGATAACATTGCACGACACTGACCGACGGTACTGACATTCTACAACTAACTGACTACAACTAACTTTTTCTTTACAATAAATTTATCCTTGGCTTCCCATCTGAGTACAAAACAGAGTATAAATATTTTACCGTTGCCTGAATTTGGACCATAATTATTATATGCACATTATGCAGTACAAAGTAGTGATTATAATATATAGCATAAGGCCAGCAGCGATGATAATACGTCCTGAGTGAACATGCCTCATCAACCCTGAAACCTGATTTCAAATGCCTCAGGTGACATTTTAAAATGTGCTTAAAAAACTGATAACAACTGCTAACAACTGATATGTAGCCACTTATGCAGTCGTGTTGTAGGAGTAACTCTTCTTGTTTCAGGTGACCATACTGATGAGGAGTGCACTCAGGGCATCGGGCAATGAACTAATTATAATCTCATTATTGGTCATTTAGACTGTAATCAGCAGTGTCACTTTGTCGAAACTTGATTTATTTATCACCTCATTACGCCAATTAGTATTCACACGAACGAACTATTAGCACCTGACCAACAAGTACCGACTATAGCATGACGATACTCCACGGCTAAGCTGTACTGGCATAAAAAAATTCCTTTGCCATGGCAAGATATTAAGCATTGTGTACAGCGGTGCTGCAACAACGCTGGACCATGAATGGTTACACTGGTCTTGTTCCAGTGCCCATATCGATGTGCTCAGTAATCGATACTTCAAGTACCAATTTCAACATGACATTGGTCACGCAAACCGCAAATTATTTGGGCACCGTCACACCAATGCGTTCTCTGCCCACGGCAAAAATACCAATGTGATGCCAATTAAAAGCAGTGGGAATTCTCGTCTACTCTATAAGAATCCTAAACAACTCCATAGGTGTTATCCTGTTGAAGTAATTTGTTGTGCATTGACACATTGTCAATACTAAATTACAACAAGGTGAGCAATGTCCCGCCTCCACATCTGGCATAATTACTCAGCACAAGACGCGGATCAACATTCCAGGTATATATGTACATGTACTCCAGGACATAGCACTGAGATGATGACATGCCATCATACCCTGTGTAGACTAATCAGTACATGTGATGAAGTGAAGTGTTTGGGCTAGTCCCAGACCAATCTGTCCCCCGACATGGGGTTGACTACCAGCAGTGTCACAATTGTAGACCTCAAGCTGGAGAATTCCTAAACACGTCCCAGTATGTACTGCACACTCTAACTCCAAGCTACAACAAAGTTGCCCTTGCTTGCCTTTGTGTATACTGGAAGTCTACAAATTTTCGGCCCATTTAAATTTCGGCCTCCCAGGGCTAAAACCCATTTCGGCCGCATCAAATTTTCGGCCTGTACTGCTACCGCCTGTAAGGCTGTATACACTGTCACACTGAACATCGCAATAAAAAATTTCGGCTGCAACGAATTTTCGGCCAAACATGACCAGGCCGAAAATAGCTGAAAATAAATATGCGCCAAATATTTTATTGACTTGCAGTAGGTTGTGTATTGTACTCTACAGATCCGCACAATGCACAATAATTATAACCGCCATAGGTAGTGGCTGTTACCAACTATAGTACTGTCAGTCACCAAAGACCTGGGAAGGGGGGGGGGGGGGGGGTCAGCCTCCTAGCCTAGATCATTCTTATTTCCATGTAATATAGCCTATGCACCGTTGAGTCACCCGGTAGACAATGCTGTGCTGGGTAGAATTATAGGCCGGTCGTTCTTCGGCGCTCCGTTCGTCGGCGTCAGACAGTACTATAGTTCACTTCACAGTGTTGTGTATGTCAGCATACAGTATCAGTCATTTAGCTCAGACTAAAGGTATCCCCTGAAAAACTGCCACAATGCAACACTTACAAAAAGGACACCGTAATCATTGTTCTGAGCTCACCTTGAGTTGCTCAATTGGACCACGCTGCATCTTCAACGCAGCCACCTGTCCCTACAGGTTGTGCTCTCTCTCCTCTGCAAATGCAGTAGAAACAACTAGCTGGATCTGTAAGAAACCAAGCCATACAGGATCATGAAAGAGATGCTTGATCAGCTGTAGGGCAATAAGAAAAGGCATCCCGATTCTTATCACCATGGACAGAGCCAGAGGCCCACCAACAACATTTAATTTATTTATTTTATTTCACCGTCCAATGACAAAAGCCAATGCAAAGGAGGGGGCATTAGCCCCAGCCATGGCAAGAGAAGGAAAAGGAAAGAAGAAACTTCGGAACATAGTATTTACCATGGCATTATTCCAATAACACTGAGAAAAAGGACACACTTCAGGCTCTTGAATCACATCTCGAAAGTTTTCACTAGTATACTTTCAAGCCTTATCATCAGGTGAAATACAGGCAAAATCAAATGAACAAGGACAAAGGACAATGGAGGTGATAGGAACAGCACAAAACAGCGCATTATTCTAGCGCGTATAATTGCTGAATGTTTCCGAGCCTTGTCATCGGAGGCATTCCAGGTAAGGAAGTAACGTTAGCAGGGAATGATAACCATAAATACAAGTGTAGTACTCGGATAGAGGGCCAAGGACTAAGATGAAAAGAAAGGACCCAGTGTTATAATTATGGTATCCGTAGTTTGTGTCCAACACTAATAGTAATAGGGTGCTAGCTGTTGCACCTTGTGACTACACAACATCTTGCTTATAACTGTCAGTGTTGAACACAAATTATGGATAAGATGTAACATGTCGGTGCTTCCAAGACAGTGTAGTAGGTAATAGAGTATCCCTAGTGTGCCTAAACCAAATGTTGCCCATGAAGTACAAACTAACCAAAGTGAGCTCTTGCTACATTATGCTGATATAATTATTTTATCAGTGATACTGTCAAGATCTTTGTTCTGTTGTGAGGGTCTGGCCTCTTTCCAATAGCTCTGTTCACAGGCGTTCATCGATTAGATTCTATGTTAACACCCCCCCCCCCCCCGCAGCCATATGCACACAAACGCAAACATTTACATCACTGGTGCAGCCAGCCATTCATGAACGGATTTCCACGACCTCCTGAGTCTACTAGTTCTCACAATCCAGTTGACTGTCATTATAACCTACATGGTTAACACGAAACTCAGTTACGCTTTAACCACCGTGACCACTGATATTGTACATATGCGGCAAACCTTTTCAATCCAGACTTGACAGTCAATCCCTGCTTCTCTACCCACATTTAGCCGTTCAGTGCTAGATGAATTGATCACAACACGAGTACTACATGATAGGGTCTATCCTAGTTGCAGAAGAAGAGAGCTACATGATAAATTCACTATCACAATCACTGCATTGTGTACTTGTACATGAAGAGTTCACAGTTCCCTATCACTGCATCATGTGTTGTGTATATACCAACACTATTAACTCTAGCTGCCACTATTCCCAGCACTCAGTACTCAACACAGCACGAGAAGAATAGAACAGAATGATCCTGTGCATCAAGAAGAAACTTTGTGCAACAACTCTACGTTCTCACCTGCTGCCAGAAAGCTTTTCTTCTAGTAAGCAACTGAACTGAAATCTGGTGTCTAATAATCCCCTGCACTGTAGTCACTCAGGATGCGTACTTACTGCATTATGTACGTCACCCACTCAACAAGTCTGTGTGTGATTGATGTAGTGTACCGTGGTATAAATAGCAGTCTTGTGTACAAGTATGCAGTATGGGTGCCTGGACTTCACATGGTCCAGACGCAGCTGCATGCTGTGCGGCGCTGGTACTCCAATAAGACAATACCATTGCACTTCTCAACAGAATATAGTCCATTTCAATTCTCATTTTCGACTTTTAGTCCATAGTGTATTGTTGTGTTCTGAACTAACGACAGCTTGAGGTACTGATTTAGACAACTTTGAAAACTCTTCTGGCTGGCCTTGCATTGCAAACAAATTCTAAAGGCAAAAGGCGCCTCAATCAAGCTGTGACACCTTCCTCACTTCACCTTCAAGAGGACACTCTTTCCTTAGGTGACAACAGCAACCTGCACGGGATCAGTGCTTGGTGCTCCTGAATCATGCCCAGGAGCACAATATGATCTGTTATGGTCTACGCTGTCAGTGTTCAGTAGAATGATATGACCCACACTTCAAACAGCAACACCTTGTCTCTCGTAGTCCTACCATCTAATCGTAGTAACGCAGGTTAGCAGGCACGTGTTTCCTGAGAGTACGAACGTGATTCAACCCCAGAGTGCAGCGTTATCAATCATTAATGTTCGCCAAGTGTACTTGGGCACCATGACGTTTCTTGTATGTTGTGTCGTGTCATCACCCATCTGCTCCGCAAGCAGGCATTCTCATACGCTGACTTCAGCTTTCAAAAATCCCTCAAATAGTGTTACAAAACGCCTTGAAATCGAGACAGCACTCCCCCATCCTACTGTTCCAAATACCTGAATGATAAGAGTAGATCACACACCAACTGTCCGTCCAAGAGACACACGTAAGTCTATGACATTGTGGTACTCCAAACTACAGAACATGTCTTGATATTGCGCAAAACTACCAGTAACGTTGCCACTTCCTAGCGAATTCCACAAACACATGCCTGGACGAAGGACAACCAGAACTCACCTAGGAGAAGCTGCAGATAACCCAACGTGTCGATGCGAGGATGCAATGCAATCCTCGGCCTAGTTCCAACACCACCTTGGCTACGCCTTCGGCCCAGCAGTTCTAGTCGTCCAATACACACACTCTCCGCACACCTCAACTTCCACGTCCACTGGTGAGTTTCAGCAAGGTCAAGTCAGCAGCCTGTGATACTGAACGATGATGACAAAGTGACGGGTCGACGATTGCCCACCGTCCCGACCAGTGTGCGTCTATGTCTAGCACTAAGGAATCGAGATAAGGCAACGCGAGGATAATGTGATGCGTTGCAGATCACCTACACTGCTGTGCCGCTGGATCGTTGTTATAATCCCTTTCCGGCTCGACAACCAGTTTCTATCACGCCCAGAACGATACCAAGGGAGAGTACAGACTGTTGTCTGTGTTGAGCAAATCTAGGAGCACTCCACGCCAAGATGTGTGACAGGTTCCCCCTCAACTCCAGTCATCAGCCTGAGCAAACCTTGACCATGAGGATTACCAACGCCAACATCGCAGTCTCAGTTTTGCTAGCAAGCGCTGCCAATGTTGGGTAGTGGTAGCATCGTGTCAGTGACAGACTTGGTAGTCGGTGGTCGAGCGGCAACCCACGCTGCTGGATAGGTCACACAACACACAACTGCCACAGACGCACAGTGCTAAGCAATACTGACCATGTCAACCATGCAGTTGTTGATAGACATGCAGGCCAGGGCAGCGACGGTACGGTGTGGACGGGGTGAAGTAGTCGTGTGCATCTAATCCAGCACCGCGGTTGTGCTGTGCTGCTGCACTACAAAAGTACAAGCTCTCACAACTACACTCACAGTCACAGCTCACTCACTCACTGCTAGCACTCATGATCTGAGTTTAGCTAGTTGAGCGGTCAGTATCAAAATGGTATCTACCCGCGTTGTGTGTAGAGATCGATACGACGTTGTGTGCCCCAGTGTTCAGAGGTCATTAGCCAGTCAAGTAGCTACGAACTTTGCACTGGGTCTGGGTTGTAGGGTAGAGCTGTTCGGGGTGCAGAAATCTGCCGCTGTAGTGTGACCCGCGCGCCTGAACGCACACTTGTAAACCTTGACCCCGCATAGCCAATCCTGTTAGGACCCCTACTGGCCCTAGCCCTGGCCGTCTGAACGATGCAATCGGCAGGCGCTAGGCGCGTGGACCTGGCAGGCATTATAATTGCACGGCTTCGCAAGTAACGCACATCTCGCGTCCTTTACCGTCTCTGCCACTCTGGCCGGTGTGCGGCACGGTCTCCTTCCTGAAGCTGACGGTCTCCTAAATCATCCTGGCACAAGCCCCTTCTGCCAGCACTGCCAGCACTGGTAATGACTTGTTATACCTGTTATGTGGAGTTTGCCGAGCTGACTGTAGATCTACGTATGGATATCGACAAAGGACGGTCCACCCCTTATTTGCGCCTACTGCATGGATAACCTCGGGTGCGTGGTCATGTGATGTGTCTGGATTTAGCTCAACTTCCAATCCTATACGGCTCAGAGCCCAGTGAATACGGACGGTGATGATAAAACCAAAGAAAAGGAAATACAGGATACAGATACCGACTTGAAGCAACAGACCTCACAGCTATAGTACGACGAGTAGATCTACCCCGTGGGAGGTTGGCACGTGTTGTCTTTAAAGTGGCACAGCGTGAGATCAAGAGAAAGCGCCGAACTAACTCTTCTTTCTCTTGCTGCGAGTCTTGGATCACGGACATACTAGTACACACATACACATTTGACCAGATAGATAGGGTTGTCCCGGAGAATCTTCCTGGAGTGCATGCATTGTTGCATGCTTGGGGAAACCTCCATCCCCATTCGGCGTGCAGGGTGTCCGCCGCGGGAGTTTGCCGAGCTGACTGTAGATCTACGTATGGATATCGACAAAGGACGGTCCACCCCTTATTTGCGCCTACTGCATGGATAACCTCGGGTGCGTGGTCATGTGATGTGTCTGGATTTAGCTCAACTTCCAATCCTATACGGCTCAGAGCCCAGTGAATACGGACGGTGATGATAAAACCAAAGAAAAGGAAATACAGGATACAGATACCGACTTGAAGCAACAGACCTCACAGCTATAGTACGACGAGTAGATCTACCCCGTGGGAGGTTGGCACGTGTTGTCTTTAAAGTGGCACAGCGTGAGATCAAGAGAAAGCGCCGAACTAACTCTTCTTTCTCTTGCTGCGAGTCTTGGATCACGGACATACTAGTACACACATACACATTTGACCAGATAGATAGGGTTGTCCCGGAGAATCTTCCTGGAGTGCATGCATTGTTGCATGCTTGGGGAAACCTCCATCCCCATTCGGCGTGCAGGGTGTCCGCCGCGGGCTACACTTGTGTCGGTAGAGTGTCGGTAGAGTCAGGAAAGGTGAGAAGGTATCTCGACGCTCGCCCTGGATTGATGTTCCACCAGTCTCAATCTGGGGACGCGTCACACAATAGCAGACAGCTTCCAAGTCAAGCTGGGACTGATCTGGAGAATGTGTCTCCTGGCGCTTCCAGGAGGCAACTTGGCACAAAACGGACAAGGAGTACTGCGACATTCCACAGGATGAAAGTGAACTTGAACCCTGCTCGATAGATAACCACTACTTTCCAAGCTTTCATTTGAATATCCGTGGCTCACCAACTGAGTTCTTACTACAGTGTATTGTTTTTGTCCCAGTAGGGCGTAGACCTACCCCGTGAGTGCTCGAATACCGCGAAGGCATAACTGGCAAACAGCAGCCAGCAGCATCCCCATGTTGCCTGATGATTGAACGGAGCATGACACAAACTCAGTTACGACCGGATCGAACTAGCGTTTTAGAACCTCCACCTCTGAGGCTCTGTGCTGTGTTTATACAAATGTCTGACATGGATGCTGTCCTCACACTGCACTGAGTGAGTCTGTCACAGTGTCAGGCCAAGCCAGGCCAGGCCTTGTAATCGCACAGAAAGTCGTGAACGGGGGTGATACGGAACCGTGAGTCACTGACGGTGTGCGGATTGGCGCAGTGCAAAGAGTCACGATTCGAACCGTCGGCACTGGCTGTGACGACGAACAAATCGGACGACCTCGCAGTTCATTGACACGTGGTCACGGCTGTCAGGTCCCGCGGCAAAGATCCAAAGAATACCCTAACTGGCCTTAGTAAGCTGGTCAAGAACTTGTTAATTCAAGAATAATTCAGCAGCAATGCAATGATTATGTGCGTGCGTGCGTACATGCGTGTGTGCGTGTGTGTGTGTGTGTGTGTGTGTGTGTGTGTGTGTGTGTGTGTGTGTGTGTGTGTGTGTGTGTGTGTGTGTGTGTGTGTGTGTGTGAAATGCGATCGATTGAGTCAAGTTTGTGTCCTGCACCAGTTCACATCACAGTGTTCGCAGGTCTAGGGCTGCATAGGGCTCGACGTGGCATGGACTCGCTTGATCGGATTTCATAAAGAAAGTTATGCAAATCTGTACAGCTGCGGGACATGGAGGCCAACATCAACACTAGTTCGGAATGGGACATCATAATCCTGTGAGAAGCAATGGTGAACAAGCTGGCTGTCCGTCTCCTTTGCCCCCCCCCCCCCCCCCCAAGCGGCCCGGCTCCCCACACCTTCTCAGCATGACCTAACCATAACTTTAACTTAATTAAAAGTTCCACCCTCACCCTACAACTTCATGACTATCATACAAGATTGAGAAACATTGCTTCTGGTTTGTCAGTCAATGGTGGGAATGTTACGGTACAGCATGCAGTGGAACAGTGGCTAGTTGGTTGCAACTCTATGTTCCGTGCTCATTGCAATCCTTTGCAATGCTTAGCGCAGCCATTATGTGCGTAAGAGGAGCGCGCTCTGCGTATCATCGCCCTATCAATGCCTTGCGCCCCTTGGCGAAGGCCGAGGGTAGGTTGTAGTCGTTTCCTGTGTTGTGCCGGAGTTTGGTATTGTTAGTTACATTACGTCATTCCTCCTAGCGTGTTTCCTTTCTGTCATGCTACTGAGAGTGTATGGCATTCATATTCTATGACAGTGTTCGCTTCATTGAATTTTGCTGTATTTGAGTAGGGTTCCACTTTACTTATCACATTCTTCCTTTACTTATCCCATTCTTCCTTTACTTATCCCATTCTTCCTTTACTTATCCCATTCTTCCTTTCATGCAATTGTTTTCACTACTTGCATTGCGTTCTACTCCTCCATAAATTGCACATTGTGTTTTGTTTGCCCGTAAAAAGAGGCTGTTGACTATGCTCACTGCAATCATCAGGCATTCTGAGGCAACTAATGTTTCTTGGCTATGCATGCAGCAGCAGTAGTCATGTATCTGCATGCTTTTAGTTTGCCAGCATGTATTACAAGGTGGTGGAACACCGTGTTCGGAAACAGCGTGCCTTACTGCAGCTATCCACCGCGGTTTATCTTACATGTATTTTGTATCTACATGTACACACTAGTCAGAACAACAGATGGCTTGATCAGTCACAACTTAAAGTTCCATGCCATCTCAGGCACTCATCAGGTGATATGAACATCAAGAAAAATAACCCACTATTTAAAGCCCAGTATATATAAGTTGTGACTGATCAAGCCATCTGTTGTTCTGACTAGTGTGTCACGGCTCTACCTTCCCGGTATCGAGCTCTCTTGGATTTCTGCTGGAATTCACAACAGTGTGTATCTGCATGTACATGTACACAATCAGTCTACATCTACAAGGACAGGGAGATGGGGCTGTGGTGAGGTGTTACTGTTAGCGGTTCTGTGGTGAGGTGTTACTGTTAGCGGTTCTGTGGTGAGGTGTTACTGTTAGCGGTTCTGGGGTGTGGTGTTTTGTTTAGGAGTTTGTGTTGATATTGTGTATGGCGCTGAAACTACATTGCAAGCAGTGAGGAAAGGACAGTGCAAATGTTGCCTTACAACTTTACTTGGTGGGACTGTGTTCACGTCAGGACTATCCTTTTATAACTGTTAGCGCAGAGTGCATGTTTGGCGTGCTGGTGGCGCGCCCAGGAATTGTACACATCACTAACAATCTTCAGCTCTCACGGACATGTGTGTGAGAAACACCTCCATTGTTATCTACAATTGGCATAAGTATGTTCTATCATGTGTAGATTCTTGGTTGGAGGGAGACAAATCAACAAACGAAGCACAGAACCCATAACGTTTCGACCAGGCCTTTCGCGCCATTACTTTTCAAGTCATCATGTGTCGTGTGACATGTTGTACCTTTTTGTTTTCCTTCTATATTCTACACCCACCGTTAGACAGCGTGTTGTTAAAGTTGCCCTGCTCTGCTTCCTGGCCCATTTTCTGAACATGGTCGCCACCTTGACCAAAACGATGATCCACTTCCTCTGATTGATCAGAAACTCCAGTGTAGAGGAGTGTTGACCAGTGTTGAGCGTTGATCAATATTGCCATCAACTATTGTGTGTGCGTGTGTATTTTGTGTGTGTGTGTGTGTGTGTGTGTGTGTGTGTGTGTGTGTGTGTGTGTGTGTGTGTGAGTGTGTGTGTGTGTGAGAGTGTGTGTGTGTGTGTGTGCCACTTCATAGCTGTGTGGTGTAGACCAGGCTTAAATAGTGGCGGTCAATTATTCAGCCTTGCAAGCTGTTGAATGGTGCAATCCCAGCACAAGCTGCTATGTCGTCTGCTGTAGCATCGCTATCATCGCCTCCGGCGATGGGCGTCAAATGGTCAAATGGTGTGCCTGTGTGTGTGTGTGTTGCCCTTTGGT